TCACGGAGAGTAAAATGAAATCCTGCTTTCACTACTGCACTTTCTCAGACGAACTAAACTGTCAGACTCTGAAACACAGGCGCGGATTTATTTATTACTAAGAACACCTTATCCAGGGCGCTTTATTTTCCTATGACCTCCGTTCGATGGGGACGCCGAACCCACAAAAGCTGCGGTGAGGTTGTGCTGCAGGCCCCGTCGCCATGGCAGCACCACGAGAGCGGGGTGTGGCGGCGCGGCGCCATGGCGTCACACACTCGCGCCCCCCCCAGCGGCGGAGCCGGTTGTGGCTCCTCCCGATCCGCGGCGTCACGGTGGCGCGGCCTCCCCCGCTCTGCTCCGCGCGTGACGTCGGCGCGTCCCGCGGAGGCGGCGGCAGGTGGCGGCGGAGCGGCGCGAGCCGGCTCGGCCCGGCGGGTGAGTCCCTGGAGCGGGTGAGAGGACCAGCGGCCGCGCTGACAGCGGGATCGGGGCCGGGGCGGGAGCCGAGATCTGGCCGGGAAGTAGGCGCCGGCCCCAAACAAAAGGCCGGCGGGCGGAGCGGGCCTGCCGCGGCCCTGCGCCCTGCGCCCTGCGCCCTGCGGCGGAGGAGGACCGGCGGGTGCCGCCCTCGGGTCCGGGCAGGGGCCCACGTCCAGCGGCGCCGCAGTTCGCCGCCGAGGGAGGAGGTCGGCCGTGCGCGGTCGCGCAGTGCCGCGGCCTGGGCCCGGCGGAGGGGCGGGCGGGCAGCGGGCCGGCTCTCGGCTGCTGTCCGTCCGCAGTCAGCGCCGGAGCCTCACAGCCGGAGGGGGAGCGAGGAATGTCGGTGAGCGCGACAGGAAGCGCGTGAGGAGCTGCGAGCGGTGCCGCCAGGTGCTTTTGTTTCTCTGTGGCTGACGGTCCGGGCTCGAGGTTTTTAATTGCATCCTTCGGGAGTGATAAAGTGGGACGAAAAAATAGGTCCTGCGCTTGGTGCTATACGTATCGTCACCGCTTAGAAATTATTGCGAAATACTCGGTAAATACGAGATTTCTCACGCTATGGATGTCTCCTTTCCGCATATGAAGAAACCCCAATCAAAGCATCTTATTTTCGTCTTCGCATAACTTTCCTGCGGTGTGAAGGAGAAATAGTGTAGAGCTTGTTGCTGGGAGCGCAGCGTGCAGTGTGCAGGGTAATGACAAGGAAAAAAAGGGAGCGGAGCTTTAAAGTGTTCTGTCACATCGGTCGTGCTGAAGGTACAGCGCTGCGGCGTTGTTAGCTGCTGCCTCTGGGCAGTGGGTTGCTTAAAATTAGGCCTTAAAGTGCCTCTGAAAACGCACCGCCAAAAGTGATCACTTGTGGTTGTACCGAAGACATGTTAAAATCTGAATATTGATTTGGTCACTTGGAGTAAATCTTAAATATTTGATGTTTGTGCAGGCTTGCTTTATAGCCCTATGCAGTTAACGTGGCTTCTTTCCAAGCAAACCGAAGTACCAGTTGTTTAAATGGCTGAGTGAAAGTTTTGTTCTTTTTGTTTCCTTTCAAATCCACGGCATTGGTGTAGATGTAATGGAATTGTCATTTGCCCAGAGAGATGGAGCTGCAGGACTTTTGGAGTTGAATAAGGTTTGGAAGGCTCTTGTAGTTGCTGGGGAAAAATCTTTCTTGGAATTGATGAGTTTTTTTCTCCTTCTGTGCATGTTCAGTGTTCCTGTGCTTTATTTCTCTCTCAGAAACGTTGATAGCTTCAGCTGCCCATTTTTGCTTTATTTTCCCACAGGAATTTTGTCACTGTCCTCTTATTTGAGTACGAAACAGGTTTTCCTCGCTTAAGTAAAATGAAATAGGACGCGGGGTCCCAGTTATAGCACAGCAAAAGAAACTCATTTTGAATAACTGTGTAGCAGTTTAGTACCAAAATGGTTGACTGTTCTGCACTTGACTGTTTTTCTGTAACTCTGATCCATTCCGATATATATAGGCTTTTTAAAATTAATGTGTAGTAATGCTGTATAAGGAACGACAGGGAATTTGAAGCATTGTCACATCAGTGATTTCTGAAAGTATTCTAAGTTTAAGAGAGAGAGGAGGCAGTGAGGTTATTTACCTGCTGTGCGGTCCAATGCTTGCTGGCAGTTACAGAAATACCAGATAGATTCCATACCTTTAGCTGATACTGTATCGATGATAATAGGCCTACAGATGGGAGAGCAATTTTTTTATTATTATTATTATTTTTTCTCTTATGAAACAGAACACCACCTGCGTAAAGCAACCACCACCATCCTTCCTTCCTTTCCCAGTATTTGGCTCATGTTGTATGAAGAGTTCTGGGATCCTTTTTCTCCTGCTTCTACCTTCCCCAACCCCACCTCCTCAGTAACTGAGATATATGTAGGGAGCCTGATGGTAACAGTCAAGTATTGAATCACAGAAGAACGTTTACCTGTTATCATTTCCTTTGTAGTGCTGCACCTGTTCAATTTTCAGCCTCTGGCAGACAAAGGATGAGTTTGTGGTAACTGTTGTAAAGTGGTCTGTCTGGTGTTGCAGAACTTGTGAGATCACCTTTCATTTGAGGCAAGGTTTTAAGTGATAGCCTTCAGCAAGTGAGAAGCTGGCTTTAGTTGAATTTACCAGTGGTGTTTTTGTTTTTTTTTCTAAATAGCTAAACTTTATTTACAAAGAATTCCTAGGGTTGTCAGTAACAAACATTGCACTTACATTTAGGATTGGCTTCTTATGTAAGCTTCTGGAAATCTGTTTGTTGTTGCTATTTTTCCTCCACTCATGTCACTCATGTCTCCGAAATAGTAGAAAAGTGAAAAAATTGTCCTGGCTATGATGGGCTACTGGGAATTTGATAGGCAGCAGCCGACTGATCTGACAAGAGATGGTTTCACTCCATCTTGGCTTAGAAAAAGCTTGATGCTTTTATCAAAGAAGACCTCGTACCATTTTTGGATGTCAGGTCTGCTAGGGGGAACATCGCTTCAGCATCCTAACATGGTGTGGGAAGAAACTGGCACAAGGTTCCCCAGCAGGCGTCCTGACAGCCTTCCAAGGAAACAAGGGGCGGTTAATGCTGGCTGAGCCGCAGTGTGGGACCAGTTGTTGCCCAGATGGCGATGCCAAGTTTGAATTCCTATTCCTAGTGAGTGGGATTGTCCTTCATCTGTTGTGGGCTGTGTTTCATAGTTGGTGTGCAATAGGCTTCGTGGGATTGGTGACTGCACAGGAGGAAGGGACGCACGCAGGTTGCCGCAGGTAGCGTAACTCCTTGTATGAGATGCTCTTCCAGCGTAGGAAGTTAATTGCTATGTATAGAACACAGCTCTCAGCCACTTCACTTCAAAGGAGCAGAGTCCAGGAAGGGGTGTGTGTGTAACCACAAACATCTTTTATCCCGTTTAGTAAAATTTCCAGGACTGGCTTATTAAATAAATAACAATGTAATGAAGCATGGAGGTTACCTGAAGTCAGTATGTGAACTAGTTCTTTCTAATAGCTGTGCAGCAATTATGAACTTGCTGTGCCATAATCCTATAATTATGCCCTAATTGGATTCTTCTAGGTATAATTACATACGTTAAGTACGTGCACACATTTTTTTCCCCTGAGAAATCTGTCAGAAATGACCCAACCTCCTTCTCCCATCTCCACATAACATTTGGTCTCACAATGCGCTACCTCTAATAGCGGATTGCAAGAGGTAATAGATAAAAGACTTCGAGTGAAGCCCACAGATGTACCATAGAAAGCCAGCCATAAGATGAAGGACTGAACGCCACATTCACAGCACTGAGCTTGTTGCAGCTGTCTCTTTGATCATAGCAAACACCGTATCTTTTCTGAGCGGATTAGTAGGGCCAGAATTTTAATGTGATTGCAGCTCTCCAGATTGATGTGTAAAGAAATGGTGAGGGGAGATCTGTCGTTTGAAAAGGTGCTAGGACAAATGGTTAGGCACGTTAATTTTTGCATTTTTTTTTTCCTTAGGAATGGTCTCTAAAAATAGCTGCACTGAATGCCACGTGAAGCTCAGCTGTAAAGAAAATAATGTTTGAGTAATGTGTCTTAGAAGCCATCTGAACATTTCATTCCAGTGTTATTAATGATAAGTGTTCAATCGTTGGATAGACTGTGGCACAGAAGACTATAATGCAAAGTGTTCCATGTTCCGTCAGGGAGTTATTGCTCCTCCATTTCTCTCTAGTCTGTACGTTAGTCTGATATGCACTGCTTTTATGCTGAAATGATTCTTTCCTTGAGCAAATGTTATAAGGAAGGCCCTAGTCAACAGACTGCTTGAATTGTGGAGAGTGCCTAGGGAAAGTCCCATGTTCACATGCACTGTTTTCTCCTCGGACACCTGCCTGTTTCGAGACAAGATACAAGACTAGATAGATAGTCCTTTGGGATAATGTGGTATGAAATGTTCTTTCTGCATATGTATTTGGGTAGCTGTTGTTACATTCTAAACTTCCAGAATGGCAGAAGTCATATACTAGAAATTAAATTTGCATTAACATAACATACTCCTATCTTTGATCTCATTTCTCCTTTTGTGTACATAGTTACCTTATGGAAACAAGGCATTGACTTAATATAGCTAAAGATAATTGCCTTTTGTTATACTTTAGGAAATGATAACTTGCGTAAATTAAGACGTCAAAATAATTGACGTCAAACTGTGGGGAAAAAAAATAAGACAAAGTCTGATGGTGATATTTCTGTACATTGAAAATAGCCTTTGTCAGGCTATAAGAATAGTAATTCCATTCGTGTAACAGGACCATGGTGGTGTGTTTTGCTTGCTTGTACCTCTGTACAACACTGTTGTAATGGCAATACTGTTTGCTTTCCAGTAGTGTGCAGAGAAGCTGAAACAGTAGTGTACCATTGGGCAAGACAAGTCAGGAATGAGCCAGCCTTTGGAAGGAGGACCTGCCATCGCAGCTGGAGACATCTGAAGAGAGGACATCTTAGTCCTGTGGCATGCTCCAGTAGAAATTTCTTAGAAGAAGTAAGCTGCTGTTTTATCAATGGGCTTATATTTGCCAGCTCCTTGACAGAATGCCTGCTTGCAGTTAGAATTTGACATGGAATCTGAAAAATTACTCTGTTTTTGGGTGGTTTTATGGGAGTTTACTTTTTCTTCTGATGGAGTCCCAGTAGGCCAGGGGAATTCTAATACAGCTCCTATACATTACCTGGTCCACAGCAGCATACTTGGTGTGCTGCTGAAGGCACCCTAAGCTTACTCAGTGAAATGTAGGTTTAAATATTAATTTAAAAGAAAAAGATAATAGAGGCGAGAGGAGAGGATGTGAGATCTGGCAAGAATGTAAGCCAGCTTCTTCTCAGTTGGCTTTGGGCTGTATTTGTGTTAAAACGCAGTGCTCAAATGCTTGTTGCTCTCTTTTTTTTTTTATACCTGAACTGATTATCAAAATACTTATTTTTAGAAAGCGTTGATGAGTTTGATTTAATTTATTCAATAATGTAATTTTCCCTACTTCCCAAAATGATTAAAGGATCTCAACTTTCAAAAAAGCAGAACTTTAGCATTTGAAAGCCATTTAATATGAAGACTTTTTTTGGTTAAGTCTTGTTCTAAAGTTAATTTCGGGGAAAGTAGTCTGTACTCAGTTGTATTTAGTTATTAATGTCACAGAGCTGGAATAAAGTGCTTCCACAGTCACAGCTTAGCAGAATAGCAGCCCTAGATGTTTTTCCTCCTTTCTAAGGGGGTACTTGTTTGATAGAAATCTGCATATATGTCATCACACTTGCTTATAAACCAACTGTGAACTAGGTCTGATACTTAAATAGGTTATCAATAAAGGATTAATTAGGATCTTTCTTTAGAAACAAAAAGGGAGACAGCCTCAGTTTAGTTGATCTAAATCTTCAGATGCATAATTGTCCTGCATTCTGAGCACATGCAATTGCAGTTGTCTTATCTCTTATTAAGAGTTTACGTTGCTGGGTAGTGCTTGCTTAGAGATAAAGAGTTATTCCTTAACTGTATGAATTGTACACACAGTGTTTTCTTCCAAGTCATTAAAAATCACTGAAGACTTTAAAGATAAGACATTTATCCTTTCTTTACGTTCATGTGCTGTGTTGTGTTAAGGTTTTGATCTGTTAAAGAACCAGAGAGCCCTCAGATTAATAGGTGACCAGTTGAACACAGCTCAGGTGTTACAGCATTGCGTAGTGAACAGGTGAGAACTCACTGCTTTTAGTTTACTTGAGTTAACTTATGATACCAGATACAATTTGATTTGTCAAAATGAACTGATTTTTGATCTCAGCAGATTGCTAATTCTTAATTACGATACATAGTTTATACAGTGGTTACTAATCTTCTGGTTGTTTCTTTTTTAATTGAAGCAGACAAGCTTGTAAAATGTATTTAGGGGAAGGAAGCCTTTTGTAAAACTGCAGCGTGGAAACAAATCTCAGCTGCTGTGCCTTTTCTCACAGTAATATGTCATTATGGGAACATTTGAAAATTCAGATCTTTATTCCTCAGCCATGGTTGGCAGAAATCAGTCGATACATGGATTTCTCTTTCAGCTCTTTTGTTGTGAGATACTGATCGAATTGTATCCATGGGTACTCTGAATTTCAAATAGCTTTTCTTCCTTCCTTTTTCTAACAAGTTTCTCATCATAAAAACAAAACAAAAAACGAATTTTGTTGTAAAGTTTTGTTTGAAATGTGTGAGGCTGTCAGAAAGCAACTTGTTCTCAACACTGCTGGCATGGATCTTGCACATGTATATGTACTGTACAGTAAAGACAATTACCAGGTAGAGCCATGTCTGCAGCTGGCATGCTGAATGAAGAACTAGCACACAGATTAGGGTTTAATCTCAGAGAAGAATTTAGATACAAAACTGAAACATAGATGGACACAATTATGCTACTTCAGGGAAAAATATGAGCTGTAGAGCTTTTAAAAATAGTTTGATTAAAATAATTGGATTAGGGAAAGGCATTGGACTTTTTCGAGAGAAATTACAGTGATAGAAGGAAACAGTATGGAGAGAGACATTTTAAGTAAATAGCACTTATATATGCTTCTGTATCTATATTTATAATAACGTGTTTGTTTTTTTTTTTTTAAATAGCCCAGCGATATTTATGTAAAGCAACAAGGCTTTTACAGTTAACAATGGAGATCTTCTCCTGAGTGTTTTGCTAGAAGTATGTCTAACATTGGAACAGGCTGCCTGGGCAGACTGTGATACAACTATCCTTGCAGGTTTCAAAAAACTGATCTAGACAAAACCATGACTGGCCAGATCTAGAACTGTTGGTTGGATCATGTGGAGCAGGAGATGGGACTGGGACTGCATCACCTGTGACGGTCCCTCCCAACCCCACCTTTCTGTGATTCTGTGATCATTTTGGTTTAGCCGTTCTCAATTGTTTGTACACCAAAGACTAGTTTTACCAGAAGGCTGTTTTGCTAAATATGAGCCCTATTCTACCAAATTCCTTGGAGATTTAATATGGAAAAGGTAACTTTTCAGGCCCCATTTTCTCCCTCATTTGATATTTGGTGTTTTGTTTTGATTGCTAATATGTAAGAATATAAAGGGAAAATTAACATGAAACAATGTGTAAAAAGATGGACATGACTAAAACATCTCTAAGCAGTTTTTTGCATGTTAAAGCTAGAGTATTTCACCTATTGAACTGCTACAAAATGACAGAGCAGCACAGTTATGCATTCTTTGGTCTTATCCTCACTTTTCATAGAGTTGGTTAGAAAAATCATCTTTAATGACAGAAGTAAGGCATGACTAGAGAAGGAAGTTCACAGATTCTGGCTGTGTGTTTCATCTCCTGTGATATACTACCCCTTCTGCTGGGCTGGAACAATTCCTTTTGAGGTAAATCAGCGAGTTCACCTGCTCTTTGGGAATAAGAAATGCAAGATATGTTTTGAAAAAGTCACTTCAGTTTTCAAATCCAGTTCTTTCTGTAGCCCTGTGGCTGTTGCAAAGCAGTCTCAGGAATAGTACACTGGGGTGTATGGTGACTAACAGAGTAGGAATACGGTCTGGTGCTTCTGCCAAATTCATTTTGTACTATGGGACCCTACTCTGAAGGACTGTTCCAATAATCCACAAATCATACTGATGAACCCCAGTACTGTGAAATTAGATGGATCTGTGGTTAAGTTACCCCCTTGGGAAAAGAATCATAGCTTCTTTAAATTTTCTGAAGATGCTCCAAAATGGCTGGGCATTTTGTAGTACCTTTAGGCTGCATGAAGTTCATCAATCAGTACTGCTTCAAGAAGAGGACAGAGGAAATTTCAAAGCTTGGCACGGTATTTTATTAAAAATGAAGCAGAAAATTAAAGCTTAGTGATTACAAAAGAAATTCTCCCTAAATTCAGCTTAGTCTGTTGACTGAGGAAACAGGATGCTAACCTGTGTCAGTTTCTTCAGAAGTTGAGCTTCATAAACGATATCTCACCTTAAGATAAGGCAAACATCTCATTATGTGGACTGCGAGGTAAAGGCACTAGTTTAGGTTGACACAATAAACTGACTTAAGCCTCTCTTTGATCTTCTGCAGGATGGCTGGCTGTGGTGAAATAGATCATTCAATCAACATGCTTCCCACAAACAGGAAGACAAATGAGTCGTGTGCTAATGCTGCACCTTCCCTGACAGTCCCTGAATGTGCTATCTGTCTGCAAACGTGTGTCCATCCAGTAAGTCTGCCTTGTAAACACGTGTTCTGCTATCTGTGTGTCAAGGGAGCTTCTTGGCTTGGGAAACGTTGTGCGCTCTGCCGGCAGGAGATCCCAGAGGATTTTCTTGACAAGCCAACTCTATTATCACCAGAAGAACTCAAAGCAGCAAGCAGAGGCAATGGAGAATACGCTTGGTACTATGAAGGAAGAAATGGTTGGTGGCAGTATGATGAACGTACCAGCAGGGAGCTGGAAGATGCCTTTTCCAAGGGTAAAAAGAGCACTGAAATGCTAATTGCTGGGTTTTTGTACATAGCAGATCTGGAAAACATGGTTCAGTATAGGAGAAATGAGCATGGACGGCGCAGAAAAATAAAACGGGACATAATAGATATACCAAAGAAGGGAGTGGCTGGGCTTAGGTTGGACTGTGACAGTAACAGTGTCAACCTGGCACGAGAGAGCTCTGCTGACGGTGCAGACAGCACACTGACTGGAGGGGCTGCAGCTGTACAGCCTCTGGTGCCTGTTTCTGCTAGGCCCCTGCCATCACTGGATGGTCAGCTTGTGAGTCCTTCGACACCCTCTCCTGATGCAAGCACTTCTCTGGAGAACTCTTTTGCCCACTTACAAATAAATGGAGACAGTATGGCTGAAAGGAGTCATAGAGGAGAGGGAGAGGAGGACCACGAATCATCATCTTCTGGTAGGGTACCAGCCCCTGACACCTCTGTGGAGGAGACTGAATCGGATGCTAGCAGCGATAGCGAGGATGTGTCTGATCCCCTCCAGCAACATCCATCCTCTGCCCAGCAGAGACACTTGAATGCAAACACAAACCAGCCTGGAGCGGATAGACCAGTGGCAGGGGGAGGGGTGGCAAATGCAAGTGTAAGATCTAGGAGGCCAGATGGACAGTGCACAGTCACTGAAGTGTAAATCTGGAGCCATGCAATTTAAAAACTCAGTCTCCTATCTGTAAATTTTCTGTCCACGTTGGCATTGCACTCAGACCTAGCAGTGTGTTTGGTGGGAGGGTGGGGCGAAGGGAAGCAGCAGATTTGGCCTAACTTAAGTCTTTTAACATGTCTTAGCTGGAAGACTAACTGTAAGAAACTGGGTTGTCCTGTTAATGGTTTGAAAGCTGCTTAGCAATACCCGGTTTTCTTGAAAATGTCTTGTGTTTATTTTGTAGCATTTTGCCCTTGAAGATACTCTATCCCTTTTTGGCCAATGTATATCTACTGTACAACTTGAATTGTCTTCATTATCTGATTGTTGCATTAAGTGTCTTACTACTTTCTGCATGGATTGATGTATGAAAAGAACACTAAAGCAACGTGGGAGCAGACACGATGTTGGGTGTGAGCAGGATGCTTAATTTAATGTGAGAAAAATAGATGTGAGTTTGGAGTTAAACTGTGTTTTTACTAGACAAAGAGCAAGCATTTACCTTCCTTCAATGGAAATGTAAAAATGCTGTTAACTTTTGTTGCAAATTCTTACCTATACACTTCATGGCATTTTCATCGGCTTTGCCATCTAGTCCTTGTAGTTCTGTTTTTGAGGTCTTTCTTGATCCGTCTCGTTTTTGTTACGGAATTTATAATTTAATAAAACTACATTTTATCAGTAACCATCTTAGATATGTCTCCAATTTAATTGAACATAAATGGAGGAACTTTAAAGAAAACAATCATGAAACAGCTTCCTGTATTCACCAAAAGCAAGGATTGGTTTAAAGTGGCATCTTTAAGTTCTTGTGTTCCTGACTATTTCAACCAGAACACTGATCTAGGAGGAGTATGTTTTTCTAATGAAAAAAAAAAATAAATCACAAGTAACAGGCTTACTGCTAACACAGGCTTCATACTTCTCAAGTGCTGACCAACTCACTTCACTGTTGTTGTGGGCAAAAGTATCACACAGTCTTATTAGCAGCAGAAGTGTTGAAATGAAAGAGCAAAAATAATCATACTTGACCCTAAAGTACAGAAGACGTGTTAAGGACTAGATTGCTATTATCTGTTCTTCATAGCAAAGCTCATAACTACAGAGATCAGATAATTTGGGACTTGTATTTGAAATGCGCTCACAAATTGGCCCCAGTTATTATAGAATGATTATTAGAAAAGTCTACAAGCCAGATTTTAAGTACAACTTGTTTTTATTATAGCAGTTGTTCCTCATTTTTTTAAAAACATCTGTTCATTGCTTTTAAGATAAAGCTAATTAAACTGTAGTTCTTGGTGCACGTGGCCTTGAATAGAAAGGGCTGATAGCTGATTCTTAAGTATTCCCATCCATCAAACAAAAAGGTGCTGTAAGTACACAATCATTTGAAGAGAATTAAATGGGCTGGCTTTTAAGAATGGTAGATTTAAGTTTCTAAAACTTTCTTACAGTAACAAAGGCTGACATGCATTTTCCTGGGCAAAACTGTATCCATTTCTGACTGCCCACAGGTGAAACAGTGGGTCAGTGAACAAAGGAAACTGTACAGGAGACTGAGACAGATAAAAAGAGTATTTCTTGCTTTCTCAGCTTGGAAGGGATAGTCTTGGTCGCAGATTTTCACATTCCAGTTCCATGAAGAACAAAGCCAGTAATGTGACCTTTGGCAGGAAAGAGTTTGGAGTGCTTTTTACTTTCATTTGTTAGCTGTCACCTTTCTTTTTGTTTTGAGTACCATACACTAGTTCTAATCAAAGTCTAACTTTGTGCTGTAAAATAGTAAGAATGCTTCCAGTGTTTGCATGCATTTCACTTAGGGTAAGGTCATGCCCTGTTAAAGCAAGAGGCAAAGTACAGGACCTGCTGTATACTTAATTTGAGGAGTTTCAGTACAAAAAAAAAAATATATATATATACACCCATATACATAATGAATTTTATCAGTGATTATCCAGTAGGGTTTTTGACCAAAGCAGAAACAGACTTCTGTTCAGGCCAAACACCCATCAGTACTGCTTTTGGCTCCCCCCCTAGGGTTGACTGCAGCTACGAATTACTAAAATTAAAGTAAGGTTGATGGGAGCTTAACAGCTAATCAGAGTGGCAAACCCTCTCCCAGATCACGCAAGGAAGAAGTAGCAACCAGTAATTCCCACCTTATATTTAAACTGTTATCATCAGTAGGAAACTTATTCTGCATCTATTTTAGCTGAGTTACAGCTACACTGCATATATTTTTCTTTAATGAAGTAGGGGGAGCACCAAGCTTACCTGGGTAAGTATATTCCTGTCAAAGGTTGGGTAGCAGCAAATATGGGGAAGTATCAATATTGCTAGAAGTGATCCCCAGCGTGACAGTATTCAAGCTTTCAGCTAAGAATCCATGCACTTTAAGTACTCAAGAGTGTCCCAATACACAGAGGCAAGAAATAAGACAGGCATTTCACAATGGAATAGAAAACCTCGTTTGCTGAGGAGAGAGGTGGCAAATCAGCCCCTAGAAAATACAAAAGCTAGTACTCCTTTTAATTAGGAGACCAGGGAGGATCAATTCTGAATTGGGTTTCTAATTCATTTTGTGCATTTGGTGCTTGTTCAGTTTTAGATCATTTCTAAAGGAAAAGCAGCATGTAGTCTTTAACAAATTTAAAGAAAATATAAATGCCTATTAGCTGCTGGTTACAGGTATTTGGCACTTCAGGATGACAAGTGCTCTGAAATTGACCACTTAGGTTTGAAATTTCTAAAACGGGATTCCATTTCATCTCAGTCTGGAGCCCTCATGATAGCACTCACAGTAATTTAGTTAGGCTGGTTTTCATAGTAAAGACTGCACTTATTTTTAAAATGAAGAAGAATAATACAGTATTAGACTGTGCACCAAATCTTTGATCAAAGCAAACACCTATAATTACGAGAATCTCCTACAGTAGTGTTTGGTGTATTTGCGATTCCAACTGAGAGGGCAAAAATGAGTTTCCTGTAACCTTTTCTGACCGTGTCTTGGCTGTTCTAGCACCAGTTGATTACATGTCCAGTTCTTAGTAACAAACACTGGGGATTGCTGGAGAAAGGCATTTGCTGAAAGAAGAAGCTCCGTGCCTATACATCAAACTGGAAAGAGGACTCTTGTGCATATAGGATGTACATACATACCTAGTTTCACTTACTGACAGCACAGGTCTAGTTCAAACTGTATACATAAAACAGATGCTGCATTTCCACTGCGGTTTCCTACCCAATTTGTATCACTCAGCTCACAGAATATACTACTGGGGGCCTTACAGCACTTCAATTTTAAAAAAAGAGATACAAGTGGCCTTTATTAGGTTCAAATATTCACAGCTATTAAAAAAAAAAATAAAATAAAATAAAAAATCACAATATCAGCAACAGCAAACTTGGCAAATTGTTGGTGGCAGAGACCTACTTACTTGCCATAGAAAGCACATTTTTTTGACTGGCAATGTGAGGTGCTATTGCTTCACAAAGTTGAATAGGGCATGAGGAGGAGGGAACATGGACCGGAACACGCTTTGAAGGTACAGACAGATGGGCAATCTGGAATCCCTCAGGGATTGAGAGACTTCATGAAAAGCAAATCAGCTTCATTACAAATGAATCAAGTATTCCCTTATTATATTAAAACATCCTTATTTCTTAAGTCATGGGGTTGAAACCCTCTAGAGTATGGGAAAACACCCACCAGCACAGGGCTACTAAACAATGAGCTGCTAGAGAAGAAAGGGGAAGAGGGAAAGCACATAATAGACAATACCCTCTCCCTGTATTCCTATTCCCATCTCTAACCTGGAAGTAAAAAAATCACAAACATTATTTTTAGGACAGGGAGGTGTGAAATCATCCTCTGAAAGTAGTATAACATGCAAAGGCGGAAAGGAGGGATCAACAGGCCAAAGTTGCTCATCTTCTGCAAGTTGCCAGCTCAAAACACACCCCTTTCTTCAGCATTTCTTTTGGTTGCTTTATGCTACACTCCCCACTGTGAAAGCCATATAATAAAATACCCAGCAGAACGTAGCATATACTCAAAAGCTACAGAATCTTAGCTGGCCATTTAGCCTGATTCCTGTCACTGATCTGTCCCCAAATCCCCAAACCTACATATAGTTACCTCACTGTCTCAAGCTTGGTAATCCTACCACACTGTGAAAATCATAACATGAATTTTCATGCAAGGAATCACTTCCTTTTCCTAAGGAACTCTGAACCATGCACCTAGTTAGTTATGCTTAGTGAGAGCAAGAATGCACATCCATGCCAAATAGTCCAGAGTTTCCTCCTTAACATGCTCCCCTGGGGTACGTGGGTCCCAGGTCCAGCCCTCATCATCACTGGATTGAGAGACAAGGTGATCAGCTGTATAGGAAATTCTCAGTTATGGATATGCCTGTACATTTCTGCTTTCACAGATGTTGCACTCTAAATGAAGAATCATCAGCCAAAGCAGGGACTCTGTCTCAGTTTCTAATTTCTAAAGGAAAAACTCTCCCTGCTGAGTTATCTAGTAATTCACACAGTCACACTAGCATGGTGTAAGAAAAGTGGCAGTTGATACAGTTGCCTTTAAGCAGTTTCAAATCACCCAGGAAAGGTAACAGTCACAATCCAGTAATAAAGAATGAATAGCTTACCCCTTTTCCAAAGATCAGGGTTCCCTAGAAACAACAAGGGGAGATGATCTTCAAGTAGAGTTGCTTCCCTTTTGATGCCAGCCCTTAAATGAGGTTAGTGAGGGGCAGACCTTGGGTTCACCCCTTCTGGTTGCACTGGTGAATTGCTTCCACCTGTGATCCCAGGGCTGGCTGTGTCCCTTCACCAGGTGCTCAATCACTGGCTCAGGCCGTGACCAAACGGTTCCCATACACACGGTTATTGAGTTCCAATGATCTGATCTCTTATAGCCCAAACATGTACTACTAGTAATAGGAAAACAAGTCCTTCCAGACACGTCTCCCATGAATGCTGAAGTACTGAGAGCATCTCGCTAAAAAAAAAAATCATATTTGGGAGCATTATACACCATAATCTTCTAAAATTTCAAGAAGATTCAAAGTGAAAAATGATGTCAGCAGCTTTGTGTGTGCCCAGCAACACAGACCAATGCTGTGAGAATGCACAGATGCATTTGTTGGTAGCTGGTTTCCAAAGCTGTGAGTAGACACCTAAATGCACTTAAAGATCCGGATCCATAACAGCAAATAAAGTCTACAAGCTCTTGGGTGAGTTAGAACAATTTCTCTTAAAAAACCAAACCTAAAAAGTAACACATCCTTGTATACTTTCTGAACAATTATACCAAGAACTGACTGAAGATGAAAAAACGATGCTCAACAGTTATCAAAGCTTCAAAGTTGCTTTAAGGTTTTAGAGCTTTTAGAGCTTTGGGCACACCTGTTCTGTAAATAAAGAAACCTCTCATCTCTCACACAATTCATTTCTATACCAGTTAGAAAAAACAAAATTATTCCAAAGAAAATAATCTTCAGCTTCATTCCAAAATAATTAGATTTTATACTAAGCACAGTATTTACCTTTACATAGGAATTTCACTAATCTTCATTCAGTAGGTGATTAAAACGGTAAGGGATCTTCTGGGGATTACTGTGTGGTTGCACACCAAATATGTCTGCCAGACATGAATGACAGGAATGTTAAGAA